GGCGGTTGACGTGGTCACGTGATCCAATGTTTTGCTACGTTACCGGGTACACTTTAAAGGGGACGTTTCGAGCTGTTAAAAAGCACTCTAATAGCTTATATTTTGAATTTACTAGACTTTACTTGAGTGAAATGTTTTAGTTTAGCCGCCTGTCTCTCTCGTTAACGTTATATTTAAACGTTTTATCGTTTGACTGAGTTCTAACTAGCTGCGTAGTAGCGCTGTAACCCGTCGTGTGGACCATGGCGGCGGTTGACAGTTTCCAGTTTTTGTACAGAGAAGTTTCTCGGTCGTGCAGCTCGTATTTTGAGACCCTGGCTTTGGTCGGGGCTGTGTACACGGCCAGCCGGGCCATAGTCCTGCTGGGCGACTGCTGCACGTTGGTTAGGGTCCATTTCCTGCCCAGGATGGTGCCATGCAGGAAGCTGACCCAGAGATATGGGGACTGGGCTGTCATTTATGGTAAGGATGGACACAGATATCATCAGATTGAGGAATAAATGGGGCAACTAACACGAGGGGATTTTTTCTGAAATAAATTGGGAATTGTTACAATGAGTATGCTGTTGAATAAGTTCAAATCCATCAATAAGATGTTAAGAAACAGCAGAAATTGACCAAATGTTTTGCAACGTGGTTCAAAAACTGTTTATGCTTATTCTGTCTTACATCCTACAGTCAATAAAACTGTCCTCTCTCCTGTCAGGTGCATCTGAGCCTGTAGCCAAGGCGTATGCAGAAGAGCTGGCCAGGCACGGCATCAACATCATCTTCGTCTCTCAGGACGGCACCTCCATTACAGAAACCGCCGAGTCCCTCACCCAAACCTACGAGGTGGAAACTGCCGTCGTCCTAACCGATTTCTCCCAGGGCCACGCCAAGACCAAGCCTCTCAAGGAGGCCATGATGGGGAAAGACATCGGCTTCTTGGTGAACTGCGTGGACGAGTCGCTGACCTCCCCTCAGAGCCTGATCGAGGTCCCCGAGCAGGGCCTGCTGGACCAGGTGAATAAGAACATAGCCGTTGCTACGCTGATGACCCGACTGGTGTTGCCGGGCATGGTGGAGCGCAGCAGGGGGGCCGTGGTCAACATCTCGTCGGGCGCCTGCTGCAGACCCCTACACGGAAGAGTGACGCTCACCGCCGTCACCGTGAGACACACGAGTTTCTTAAATCGATCCCTAACCGGCGTCGCTTTAAGACTGAACACCTGTCTTATGTTTCTTCCAACATTTTAGGGATATCTGGACAGTTTCTCTAAAGCTCTTCACCTTGAGTATAGCAGCAGAGGGATCTTCGTTCAGAGTCTGATCCCATTCCAGGTAATGACCTGCTTCCTGTTCTGGCCCCGTTTTATTTGCGGCCAATCGTGTTTTTGTAGCATAAACTTCTATTTTTAACTTCACCGTAATCACGTGTCACTATTTAACTCTTCAGGTCAGACTTTTTATGGATGTTTTTTCTTCAAAACTATGGTAAAAAGGAGGTTTACACAGTAAAATAAGCATTTGGACACAGTTGAAATCATCTTTCTTGGGTTAATCAGATGATGGAGTTTGACCTGCTTCCTGTTCTGGTCCGGTTTTATTTGCGGCAGATCGTGTTTCTATAGCATAAACTTCTATTTTTAACTTTACTCTAATCACGTGTCACCATTTAACTCTTCAGTTCAGACTTTTTATGGATGTTATTTTCTTAAAGGAGACATATTATACCCTATTTCAACAAGTTAAGATAGTTCCCTGGTGTCCTAATGTAATGTCTGTGACAAGCTTTGGTCAAAATCCCATAAAGATGAAGCCCAATAGCAGTTCAGTCCCCCTGGCTAACCCTAACCCTAACCCTAACCCTAACCCAAAACAGCCCCGTTCAGAGCGCTCGCTTTGGAGTGCCTGTCTCTTTAAATGCAAATGAGACACAGGCAATCCACCTACTTCTTCAGGGAGGTGTGCCCACGTCGGCACGCTAACTCTACCATGCTAACGCTACCATGCTAACGCTACCATGTTGACGCTACCATGTTAACGCTACCATGCTAACGCTACCATGCTAACGCTACCATGCTAACGCTCACGCTACCACGACGTCTGCCACAGATAGGCGGAGTAAGCTGAGGGGGGGGGCAACATGCAGGTGAAAGGCTGGAATATTATAATGAGCTAGAGCTAATGACGTCAGAAACTACCCACTCCTGAAACCTCCTGATTTATCTCCTGGATTCAGACTGAGGCGGCCCACAAAAACATGACAGAGTCATTATTTTTTCACACTTTGCCTGCTGATAGGCCCTCCTCAGTCCCAAATGTACACAATCAAATGATTAAAAACTTGGTTTTGCATAATATGTCCCCTTTAAAACTGTGGTTAAAAAAAAAAAGAGGTTCGCACAGTAAAATAAGCGTCTGGACACATTTGAAATCATCTTTCTCGGGTTATTTCAGATGGCTTCAAGTGGGGAGCAACCTTCATCATCCTCATCCTCATCCACATCAACGAGCGAGGGCTGGTTCGTTCCAAAACCGGAGGTTTACGCTCGCCACGCCATTTCCACGCTGGGCGTGTCCAGCAGAACCACGGGATACTGGCCCCACACGCTGCAGGTCAGCCTAAGATCTGCACACAATAAAGACGCCATGTATCTTATCAAAAGCTCTTTGAACCCTGATACAGGGCAATCAGAATCAGAATCAGGTTTATTGCCAAGTAGGTTTTTAGACTTACAAGGAATTTGCCTTGGTGTTTAGTGCACAACACAACACTTCTATGAGAAGCAAGAAATAAAATGTAGAAATAAGAATATAGGACAGAAATGATAAGACTGAAAAATACAATCTTTAAAAATATAGATCTGAATGTACAAATGAACAATCTTTACAAATATAGATCCGAATGTACAAATGAACAATCTTTAAAAATATAGATCCGAATGTGCAAATGAGCAATTGAAATGTGCAATGTTGATGTGCAACGACAGACCAGAAAATGCTGAAAGTATTGGGTAAATTAGTGAGGTAGAGGGGGGTGGGAGAAGAATGGGTGGGGGTCACTGGTCTTGTTGATTTACACAGAATATGACTGACTCACTTTTTCTACTTGGCAGTATGGTCTGATGAGGTGTATTCCCGAGTGGATTTGGGTTCTCGGATCTCGGATGCTCTTCAGTCCCAGCTAATAACTTCGAAGCCAGATGATGGATCCTGTTACACAAGTGTCACCAGACATTTTATAGATCGTAATCTGATATAGATTTCTTGACAAAAAAATGGGGAATATTTCTCAAGTCTCCTCTATTTCTGGAATGTGGTTTGCCTATTCTTTAATCCTACTATAAAAAAACAAAACAGCAAGTCAATGGGCCCTTCGTAGTAGCAAAATATAAGTTTACGTATAAGTTTGTGAACTTCACAAGGGTCTAATAATCTGCATTTTTACTATCAAAACTAAGTTTAAGTTGGTGAACATTCCTGCTTTAAAATGTGGTAAAACTGAGCCTAAAGCATAAACATTCCTTGTTTTTGAGAAGGTGTAAAATACAAAAAATAGGTAAATATTCAGGCTGCTTCTTGAAAAAGAAAAAAGGAAGAATACATGTACTATCACTAATAAATAATGAGGAGTACATTTAAAGGAAATATTCACCCACAGCCTGACACTACTGGCCGGGTTTAACTTCACAGCTTTACCTGCTCATTTTGGTTATTATTTTCCAAAAAATACATTAAAAACCCATTTAAATAAGTGGTTTAAACCAGAATAAAATATGCCGTGTTGGAGTGAAAAAGCTACTGTATGGAACAATAAGTCCTTTGGACTCTTTAGAGAATTAAAATGATCTCCACATGTGTGAAAAAAGGAGATTAAAGGTGGAATGGGAGTCCCCCTAAGCAGCCGGTATGGATCTGAACACATTCGTGGACTTTGATCACTGAGTCCAGCGTGTGTCGGTGGGGCATTAGGCATTTTTTGAATTTACGAGTGTTTACGGGCAGAAAAGATGAAGAGGGAGAGGTGACGGGGTTCTGGTATTTATAGTCAGATCTGAGATGCCGTTTCAGTCACATTTGGACCAACTCTTAACTTATTGTGATGAAATTGTCTTGTATTAGAAAACCAGACGTAGATAAATAAATCTCTTAATCCAGAGAAACTCTTGTCTCCTCATTTTAGTCGAGTCTGATTTTACTGGTTGATTGTTACTGTGTTTTTAATTTTTTTTCATTTGTTTATTTAATAGGGACACGTATGTTTCATGAATCATGTCACACACTTTTTTGAGGAACTTAGAAATGACTTCTTCCAAACTACTTATTATTTCTTTGCAACAGTTGTGGACATCCTCATTTTACAAAATATTGCTCCAACTGATGCCATTTAACCCTGTAATGCCAAATGTGTCATATTTGATTCATACAGTTTCTGAAAAGTTTTGCGTCTGACACCTTTTGCATAATTTAATGGTAAAAACTTTGCTCAAAATCCTATTGTACACAATCAGATACACCTGATAACAGGGGGCAGAAGACTACACAAAAAATAATCTGGACTTATCACATAGTAATAAATTATTAACCTTTTATTGGGCACTCAATGAAATACTTTCAAATAAAAAAATTCAACATTAGAGTGTTATTGGACAACATATTAAGACTTTATTACATTTGTGACATTTTTCAAAATGTTTTATTATAACTAAAAAAGTTCGGAAATTACCAAAAACAGTCACTTGCCCGATGTATTTCCGCTTTTTCTATTTACATATTTTGTTAAAAGGCCAAATAAAGACTTCAAACCAAAAAAATAATAATTTTCTGTTTTGTTTTATTCTTGGATCAGGCTTTTAAAGGGTTAATTCAGTGTTTAAAACAGGGAAATAGCGGTTAATTATAGTTAATATATACGATTTAACATTGTTAACATTTTGAAGGTGTTTTTTAGAAAGTGTATCTGTAGGCCTGACGGAAAGGCTTATTTTTCCCTCTTCGACAGGTCAGGTGTGTGTGAATGATTGACCCCTACACGGCCGCCTGCATTCATCCCACACCGGGTCAGATTAACCGGTCAGAGGCCGTTTGTGAGCCCCCCACACACACACACACGTGAGGGGGTCCCCACAGCAAACACACACTCTGCCAGCACTATTTGGCCGTTTGTTTAAACAGACGTGACGCCAGAAAATACGAGCAAAGTTTAACGGCTTGTTCTAATCTGAAGGTTCGGACAAAACAAAGCAAAACAAAGCAAATAGAAAGCAGAGGAAACCTGAAAACAACAACATGTTTTATTGCTTCGAAACTCTTCCTGTTTACAACCAGCAATAATCCGAGAGGTCAATTCTGACTATCTGGAGTCCATCGTTATGCAGACAGAGATTATTCACAAAAAAGTGGAAAACATCCAGGACAGTGGTCATTCTTCCCTGGAGCTGACTATACAAAGCAAAACTATTTAGACCAGAGTATTCTATCATTTAATTATTATTTTTTTTAATTCAACTGATTTTTGTTGATCAAACTTTAAACAGACACAAAAAAAGTCCACATAGTGTGTTACATCGTCCTATTGTTCATAGTTTCCCTATACGCCACCTTGATATCTCCAACAGGAAATATGGTCCAGAAAATAGCAATAATAATAAAAGGAAATAGAAATATAATGGCTGTCATCAGATACACCTCATGTCCCTTCATGTGTACCCAGAAACAATCCCATATATTTCGTTTCTCATCATTCAGTCTTTCCACTTTACTCTCATAGGAGGCTGCTTCATTACAGCATTGACCCAGAATTTTAACCCTTTAAAGCCTGATCCAAGAATAAAACAAAACAGAAAATTACTTTTTTTTTGGTTTGAATTCCTTATTTGGCCTTTTAACAAAATATGTAAAAAGAAAAAACAGAAATACATTTTTTATATTAATAATCTATCACTATGCGATAAGTCCAGATTATTTTTTGTGTAGTCTTCTGCCTCCTGTTATCAGGTGTATCTGATTGTGTACAATAGGATTTTGAGCAAAGTTTTTACCATTAAATTATGCAAAAGGTGTCAGACGCAAAACATTTCAGAAACCGTATGTAACAAATATGATACATTTGGCATTATAGGGTTAATTCCAAAGTTTTTACACATTCCCAATTACGTAGGATAATTCTTAACCTTGTGATACAGCAGTTTTACCACAATTAATGTTTGATATGCTTGCTACCACTGACTGGTCTATGAGTAAGCAAAGTCTGGGATCAGTAGTTAGAGATAAACCCGGCCATTCTTCTAATATTCCAAGGATTTTGCACCAAAATGGGTAAATATGTACCATCTTTTTCCTTGCACTTCCAACATAATCCATCTTCAGCAATACCCATCATATGAAGTCTAGAAGGAGTTTAATAGTACCTGTGTACCACTTTATATTGGATACATTTTCGTCTTGCTTCATGGATTTTTTTAGTGTTTAATTTTTTCTTTTGTCCAAAATTTCTTTTGTACCACTTCTTTTCATGACGTCTGAGAAAATCCCCTCAAACCTTCCAGTTCTTTCTGTCGTCCAGCTAACCCGATAATGCCAAATGTATCATATCTGATTCATACGGTTTCTGAAATGTTTTGGATCTGACTCCTTTTGCATAATTTAATGGTAAAAACTTTGCTCAAAATCCTATTGTACACAATCAGATACACCTGATAACAGGGGGCAGAAGACTAGACATAAAACAATCTTGACATATCGCATAGTAATAAATTATTAATATAAAAAAAAAACTCAGTTTTTCTTTTTACATATTTTGTTAAAAGGCCAAATAAGCAACTCAAACAAAAAAAAAAGAATTTTCAGTTTTTTTTTATTCTTGGATCAGGCTTTAAAGGGCTAAACAACAGCTGCTTCTCCGTGGAGAACATGGCAAATAACTTGTCCATTTTTTACCATTTCCTGTGATAGACCTGAAAGCGAACACACACACATGAGACAAAGCGTGTGTGCTTGTGTGTGCGCTGGTTCCTCTCACCTTCAGAGCTGGGAGCTGTTATGGTTAAGACGGTGTCCTTCTAGATAAGTCAGCCAATGAACAGAGACACAGAGGGATCATCTGCCTCAGTCTGCCTTTTCCTCATCTTCATCGCCAGGAATCGCAATCCTCATCCGCCTCTCCTTTACTTCAGTTTGTTCGGCCGGTGAGTTGATTTTAAGCATTTTATCGCAAAAAAAAAGTCGCATGACGTTTATATCTATAAGGATGGGAGTGTAGATAGATGTCAGAGGATCAGGCTTTTATTTGTAACCTCTCTTTGAGATGCTGTTTGCAAAAGATCAGGATTATGAGACGGTGAAAATCACACTTTCTGACTGTTTCTGAAACGAAAAATCAGGCAAGACCTAGGCTCAAAAGGGAGAAGCAAAGCAGCCGAGTAGAGTTAAACATGAACATTTTAAAGAAATTCTTTCCTTTTTTTAACTGCGTAAGACAAACTTTTCAAACAGACTTTTTTAATTTAATTTAATTTTATTTTATTTTATTTTAGTTTATTTTAGTTTATTTTTTTTTATTTTATTTAATTTTATGTTATTTTATTTTATTTTATTTTATTTTATTTTATTTTATTTTATTTTATTTTATTTTCATAACAAAAACATAAAAACAGTATTATGTTTCACTAAAAAAAATAGATAAAAATGTGATGGACAACTGCCGAAAAATTTATATATTTATTTTATTTTCACAACAAAAACATAAAAACAGTATTATATTTCACTAAAAAAATAAAAATGTGATGGACAACTGCCGAAAAACCCTCAAGGAGCTTAATGAGTGGCAGTCTCCATCAAAACAACATCTTTCAAACATCTATATGATATTGTGTAGAAAAAAAAAACATTTCTTTGTATAAAACTATTTTGAATATCATTTAGACCACACATCCATATGGAAAATTCAGACAACTTAGTAGCAGCAATTCTACTCTCCGTTTAAATTGTTCTTTAGAAAAATCGGTCAGTGATTTTGGAAGACTGTTCCATATTTTGATCCTCTGTATAAAACACTAAACTGAGTTTGAGTTGTACCAGAGTAAGGAGGCCTGACTTAAAAACCCTCTTTGTTATAAGTCTTATCAGCCCCAGCAGGTGCCTTGACGCTTGCATTTGTAATATCAGAGACAGTTACGGCTTTGGGGGGCGGCAGATAAGTGTGTTTTGGAGACTTGGAATCAGCAGCTGTGGTGTCTATCTGCAGTCAGAGCACGGAAACAGAGACCAGAGACCTTGTGGGTAGTCACGGCTTTTGTTTTAGAGCAGAAAAATAGGCCTGAAAATGCAAATCCCACTGAATTGTCATTTATAGAATGTGCCCGATGTTGTTCAGTGGTGTGCAAATGCTTTAAAACATGTACATAAATGAGTAAATGGGTCAAGAGCAATTCTGGAGAACTTAAAAGTCAAGTTTTGAGGGAAAAGTTACTATAAGAAACATGATAAATGCCAAAAAATCATTCAAAAAGTCTGCCTGTCGCGGCTTTTCCTGCTGAACGGAAAAATATCTGTTTTAGAGCAGAAAAATAGGCCTGAAAATACAAATTATACTGAATTGTCATTTATAGAAGGCATCCGATGTTGTTCTGTGCTTGGCAAATGTTTTAAAATATGTACATAAATGAGTAAATGAGTCAAGAGCAGATTCTGTCTAGTTCTGAAGAACTTGAAAGTTAAGTTTTGAGGTTAAAGCTACTATAAGAAACATGATAAATACCCCAAAAAATCCTTCAAAAAGTCTGCCTGTCACAGCTTTTCCTGCTGAACGGAAAAAATATCTGTTTTAGAGCAGAAAAATAGGCCTGAAAATACAAATCATACTGAATTGTCATTTATAGAAGGCATC